GGGGAGGAAGGCTACTTTTGTGAGAGTTCTGAGGCATAATAGGAGTGCACCAGAAAGATGAGAATTGGGGTTGATACTCCTAATTGCCCTCAACGCAGGCTGGTGTGACTTTCTAAGAGCCTTGTAATGGTTAATTCATAGTGAAGGCTTCTTTTGTTGATTTATGTTGCAGCCTTCCAAAACTCCATGTAAATGATGTGTATTGTCTAACTGCTGGGTCGTAAAAGGAAATGATGTAAGATGTGATCCTTTAGATGCTGATTTGAAAATAAATTAAAACTTGTATAAATGTTTTCCCATGCTAAGGATACCCCGTTTTTGTCTTCATGGAGTTTATATCTTACAAAGTGACTGTGTTGGGGGGTAGGAAGAGAGGACAGTGCTTGGTATTCTCTGCTAACTCAGTTAAGGTTCTTTTTCCCCCCTCCCTCTCCCTTTTGTTTCTGTCACTGCTAAAGGGACATCATTGTGGATTCAAATGATTTTGTTAAACATGAATACAATTCCAGTCTTATCACTATAAAGACAAACTGTACTCACGATCAGTGAGGTCACTGGCTTTCAGGAACTGGTCCAGACCAGCTCTCTCAAGTATGAACTGCCCTGCTTCCCTTCCTCCTCTGACTTTTCGTGGATTGTGTTGCAAACTGAGTGTCAGCCATTGGAGAAATTGCGAAGGACCAGGCAGTGGCTGGAATACCGGAATTTTTTTGGGTCCTGCAGCTAGATGTTTATCCTCCTGTCCTCTCCCAAATTGGCTGAACTTCTGACCAGTTCTCCATCACCCAAATCCTTCTTAATTAAATATACAAAAGCTAGGCAGGTGGCCAGTGGGGATTACTGATATTTATTTTTATTAAGAAAAAAAAGAAAAAGAGAAAAGAAAGCAATGTGTCAATTGTGGGTAACCACATGTCCCTCTTATTCTTCCTCCCCCAGTCCATCTGTCTGTTTGCCAAATGTGGGGTTTTTTTGTATCTTGTCTTAAATCAAACTGCAGGTTCCTGGGGCAGGGACTCATTATTCCTGGAGTAAATAGAAGAGGACCCAGAACTCTGGGACATGGGAACATAAGTGTGTCCAGGGCTTTGAGGTGATAGATAGAACAAGATCTAGCCCAGAGTTAAATGCGGACTCCTAAGAATTTTTTTCAGCTTTCTGTAGGAATATATTTCAACTGGTGTGGATAAAATTTCAGTTGAAACCATCTTCTGCTCTCTCTTTACTTTTTCCATTGGGTGTGCTCTTCCCCCACTGGCAATGGTAGGGGTCATTTCCCTGGGTCTGTATAAGGTGGATGGTTTTCCCCATCAAGGTCTGTGCACCTTGCTTCAGGCATTTATTGGTAAGGCCCAGAGTAGGGCTTTTTATTAGCTTTGGGATATTGAAGAAAGATGAGGGGAAAACTGGGGAGGTGCACCTTCCATCTCTTGTTTTATTTTTGCTGTCTCCTAGTAATGTTGCCTAGTTTGGTGACAGAGCCTTGATGGTAGTGTGCAGAAATGCCGTAATGTTGTCTCTGTGATGATGGCAGATCTGCACCTCCCACCCTAGGGAATGATGTAGAGGAACATCCCCATAGGGGATCCAGTATTACAAGAGGTGCTCACCCTTTCCATTTCCCTGCCTTCAGCATATACATTTTTTTAGTATAA